GACAGTTCATCTATTACGTCAAAATCCGCGTTGATTATGAATGAAAGTTCCATTTCGTAAATGCATTAAACATGGCACAAGATTATCCTTTAAGTATTACGATTGATATAAATGATAAAATTATATTTATAGTTTAGATGCGTCATGTTTGTGTTTTCAATTCATACATATATTTATTCTTCAAGTCTATACACAAACTATATTAATATTGATGTTAAAAATTAAAATTGATATAAATATTTCGCGCTATTCATCTTGAAGATTATGGTATGGGCCTGTTCTTATTAGTGTCAATTTAGCTAATTTGAAAAGAATTTTGTAAAGTACTTTAAATGTTATATTCGTGCAATAAATAACTCGCTCTAAATACTGACAAATTCAAAATTAATGAGCCTTAAAATTGTTAATAACTATTTTTATCAACAGACCTACGTATAACCTTCAACCACAAAATAGACATAAACATCTGAATAAACATAAATGATGATAAACAGAAAACACGCTGATGTTAAAAATTAAAATTTCGTGTGAAAAAAATTCAAGGCACGTGAATCAACAAATGTCAAATTATGAGAATAAAATGAATAGGTTATGTCAATGATATGGACGGAAACATGGAACAGCTACATTAGACGCAAATGACTAGGATTTTCGTGCAAGTTCCTGAGCACTGCGGGTCCCAACTTTTCGTTGGCTCGATCTATTAGACATTCGGTAGGACTCCTTGGATGAGGGATCGGCCCGTCGCAAGGCCTCTACCTGTACACAGGACAGCACAACACAACATCCATGGCTTGAGTGGGGTTCGAACCCACGGTCCCAGCAACCAAGCGGCACGAGGCCCACGCTTTTACTGACTGCTGATTAAACTTCCTGTGTTTATCATCTTTAAGCCTGGCGGGCGGTTGATAAAATAAGATAACCTTACTAAGACAACCCAGTATCAGCCCACTCACGCCTGGAAAAGAAACGATGAGAGATGAAAGCATGAAAGAAACCCAGGATTAAACTAGTTTATGTGGGGAAGAAGCTGGTCCAGGGCCGATCCCCCAAACTGGGGACTAGATTAAACGGAATTTAAAAACGCTTCCCATACATCGTCCAGCGTGAACGACCTTGCTGTTACTTCCCAGAATGCCTCTGCTCTGAGCGTGTCTGTACGACCTGTCCCTTTTTTACCTGGACACAGAAGAAGACCCATCGTCAGAAATCCTTGACCTTGTCTGCTTCTTAGAAATAATTCTCTGAAGAAAAAGCCTCCCAAGTTATAACACGAAAGACGACACTGGTCACCACGCGGATGAAACAGCTTCAGTGATCCGTTCTTTTAAATGGTCCAAATTTATTATTTGGACAGAGAACGCTTGTTGCTTCACATAACCCCATAGGGGTAAGATCTGGAGAGCGTGGAGGCCAGGCTATCCACTCTCCTCGTCCAACCCATCGCTGAGGAAATGTTTGGTTTAGGTAATGTGGAGATTACAATTTCATTCTCCAGTTAGATGGCCCAGCGATGGGTCACTGAAGCTGTTTCATCTATCACACCGGATAATATCTGCCTTCGCGTATCCCAACCCTATTTTTGTACAGATTTAATATTTCCTTAAGGCATGTTACATGTTATCCTAGACAGTAATACGCTTATTATAATTTGATACGTTTAAATACAATATCCTGCTAGACCTTTTCAAATTCGCCAAACATCTCCGCAGATTCCGGGGTACTTGCATTACAGAATTATTGCACTGAGAAGGGAAAAACTTAATATGGCACAGTAATGTCCCTTCTCAGATATTTTCAAAGAAATAACAGTTAAGAAATGTAACTTTAATATAGGCCTACTCTCTAGTTCTCGCTCAAATTTCTTGTATCCAAGAGCGATTTGGAACAATAACACGTATCTGTTATACAACCAATTACGAACTTAAAAAGAACACTGACTAAGCGACCGGTGATAGCATTCACAGTTGATACACACGTAAGCCAGGCAATTTTTTATAATGTTTTAGTCATCGCTGAGTGTCGCTGAGTCGCCATGAATGTTTATTCTGTATGAAGGAATCATAATGACGAAGGACGTCGCGACGCCACAGTTGTAGTGTGAATATTATCATTTTGAGCTAAGACTATAAACGAAATGACGTCGTCTTGTGGATAAGTTACTAAGCACCCATTTTGCTTCAACTCGACGTCGATCCGCTGTGTATAATCTGTACTCGTTATGTTTCAATCACCAACAAAGACTTCCTGTCCCAGCCCGAGCTCGATTATTTAATGACGCTCTTAAAAATCTGCGTTTCAGAAATGGTACAACGGTATCTAGATATCTGACGCCAAGTTTGTAAGGTGCAATCTCGAATTATTTCCGAGACAATCAAGTCGGTGGGATTTATTTCTGGAACCCGACTGTGTGACGAGCAGACGATGAGCGCAACTACGAATATTTTTCTTTGCGAAAAAAGGAGTGGCCCGAGAAAACCCCGAAATGTTCTACATAACATTTGACTGCTATCATTTGATAGATCAGGCCCATACCTCGGGACAGGCTCTGGCCCGTGCATACCTTTATACCAACATAACAAATTCCTAGGAACGTTTACTTTAATTCGAATTATTTCCACTGTATGATAAGGTTAACAGAAATGATAAGTTAATAATTAAACGTAATTAAATTCTTTATTTCTGTGTATTCACTGCAGTGGTATAGTTTCCCTACTACTTCAACAATATTAGACATTTGTCACAGGTTTACATAATATACATATCTAAAATTTTATTACCGTCCAAAAAAACCTTTCTCACAAAAATTCTTAGGTACGTTTACCGCGTGCTCTCAAACAGGCTTCCTACTATACATCCATTTCACTACTTATCGCTGTCGAGCGGAATGATAAAGGCGAATTTGGATCGTCGTTTGTCTATATCTTAACCTCCACCCCACTATCTCATTCGACGCTAAATGACATTTTAGATTGTACACGTCGTCGTTAAATTACCTATAAACCAGTGACAAATGCTTCGGTCTGGCTCATAGTGGGCCGACAAACCACTAAAACTGTAGAAATATAAAAGAAATGATTTACCAGATTAATCAAGCAACCAACAACCGCGAAATTTCTATTTTTATGGCACGTGTTTCCTTCAGCTATTATTATTATTTAGTGTTCTGTCTGGCGACAGGTCCATATGAACAGGATCCTTCCATCCTTTTCTCGGACTGGGACCTGTTTATATACGTTCTTGGCAGATGATCCAGAAGTGGTTTGCCATTGCCTTCTTCTGTGTGTGAATGGAGTAATTGTTGGGATGCCACGGAGGAAAACTCCGTGTTGCCTAGACCACGGCCTTGACCAACACAAGTTATAAATTCGGGCACCGCCGGGAATCGAACCCGAGACCCCCAGGATTACAAGGCCAGCGTTCTAACCGCTAGACCACCGTGGCGGTCCTTCAGCTATTACGACTAAATTAAGCTCAAACCTTCCCCGACATATTGCATTAATAAATTATGTATCTCTTTTTTTCCCCACATAACTGCATTTTAGTCAGAAGTCGGAACAAGGAGTTGGAGGAGAAGAAGAAGAAGAAGAATATTTTATATTTGTTTAGCTTGCGTAATTTGGCATGACACAACACTTGTAAAAGAATAACTTACTTTCAAAGCTATCATTTTTACACTTCAATCAATCTTTCACAATGGAGTTTAATAAACCTTCTAACGCAAGCCTGACATGATTCGAAAAAATCCGCCAGCCCCAGGGGGACGCTACTGAAAGTTTTCTTTACGAAGTATTAATAATTTTTGCAGAGAATGACTTAATGGTTTTAAAATCCTGTCTTATACACGTATTTAGGTTAATATTCCGTGATATAATGTGCATAGATCTTTCTGGGACAGACTGTAGATACAGGGTACAGTTTGTCATGTTTTTATTCAAATTTTAAATCAAAAATGTGATGAAAATTTTAAAACTTACATCATACACAGCATAAAAATAAAACAGCAGAGAATCTACTCTACATGAGGACCCCCACAGGCACAACTCGCGGACTCAAGAGTTCATAAACGTTTAAGCCGACATGCCATCGACAAAAAGATCTAACTAAAATGATGGAAAAAGAATTATACCGAATGGATCATTCAAGGGTAATTCCGGGCTGAATTCATTCCACTGTCAGAGCCAATTTATCTTAAAACACACAGTTTCTTAGTACAAAATACTTCTGTTCATTAGCAATTTGGATATCGTCCACCCGAGTCACAATGGACGTTGAAAATAATGGTTTAAAGTGCATTAGTTGTCTTCAAGGTTTACAGAGCTTCAAAGCAACTCATATCCTAACAGACAGAAAGAGATGAGACTTCATTGGCAAGATAAGTGCCTATCCAGATGGTTATGTAGTTTTAATCGGGATTACGTCCCAAGCATAGATGTTGGTCCTCTTAAAGACAGACTGATGCCTCATCTAAAATTCTTCGAAGCCGAAGCTCGTCTAAATAACATTTAGAAATTCAGTCCGTACCTCACAGAGAACACAATGCGTCTCCATACCTGTGTTCCTAGAACTTCAAGGTCCCTTACTAAAACACGAAGACGTCACAATGGTACCAGAATCATTAACTGCATAATTAGTACATACTCGTAATTACTTGTAGTAAGTAAAAGTTAACGCCCCCGTCGGGGATCGAACCCCGGTCGTCCAGCCCGTAGCTAGTCACTATACTGACTGAGCTATCCGGGCTCATGATTACCCCTATTATAATATATAACAATATCGCAAAAGCTCAGGAACGCAAGATACACATAACGAACAACGTCTTGGAACCGGAAGTCTTCGTAAACCGAGAGTTCCCTGTCTAGTACTGCACAGCTGTCTCCCAGACGGGATACACGAAACATAGACAGGTGTTTCTCAATCGGGAGTCCGCGGGCCTGCAGCAGTCGTACACAAATAATTTTTAAAAATAAAACAGTATCAAATTATCTTGACCGTCTCACCTCTTCCTCGGTTCTTACAGGACAAAGGCCGAAGGCGATTAAAGTAATCAAGATCCACGAGAGTTGGAACAGCGTTTCAAAAAGCCTGGATGAAACAGCATCTGCCCGCTGTTCTGGTTCATAGCGTTGATTCGCGTGGTCGCTCTGAGCGGTCCATCATCATTCTACAAAGGACACGGAGTGACAACAGATTAATTCGCTCTGACTCAAAAATACACTGCAGTTTGAACGGAAGTTACAAACAGGAAGACCTACATGTATCAGAATAATTTAATAACGGCTCCATAACGAAACGATGTGGACTGGATTTACCTGAACCAGTGGCGTGCTGACATTGAACTTCCTGGTTCCGTAGAAGATATCCTGATTCAGCCGGCTGATTGGTTGACTTGACTGACAGACTCGCTGACCGACGCTCCAAATAATGGAGTTCTATTTAGGGCCAAGGATGGTGAACTAGTAAGACTACTCAACGTGACAACGAAAGGAGAAAATTCAATTCCAAGCACGCCAACTACAAAAACACATTTTAACTGGTAACACAATTTTGTTCTTGGTTTGTCTCGTACACGATCGAAGTCTCGTAGTCTACAAACTGTTCTGCAAAGCAAGGTTCTTTGTAGTTAAGCGTCTTTCTCTGTTATTTCCAGTGATATAATTATTTGGGGCAGATGCACATTACAGATTTATAATTGCATTAGAAAACTGCGTCTCGGAAATTGCTCGTAATGAAATCCGTCAACCCCTGAAAAGCTTTCAAGGGACTCGAGATCCACTCTTCTGTTTCAATAACACAGATCGATTCCAGGAAGTATATTATCTTTAATGTTTCATCCATCAGTGGAGGTTGTAACGCACAACGCTGCAAGGGAACAACTGTATTTAAAAAATAAAGCCACTAAAAAGAACGGCAATGCAATAATTAATTTTATTCATCAACTACAGACTGTATTTGTAGAATGATTTTGTTCCAGTAGCCATTTTCTCTTTACGTGTCTGTCGTCTAATATCGGACGGCGTGGTTTCTGGTAGCACCGGACAGAACAACAATTCTCGAAAATATTATTTAAGAATAAATATAATTTAGTTTGATTCTGTTTTTACCCCTGATTATTATATAAACTCTGTTATCTTTACTGTTGGAGAGATTTGGTGTTTCTTTATTTTGTTTCAGGCGTGATATAATAAATATATATTATTTAAATCTTGTCCGTCTAATCACAATAAATTCTTATTGAATATTAAAATATTACAATAATTAACATTTAAAATATTTAAAATATTAAATGACGTTCTTTATCGAAATATTCGATTCGATGGTCTAATGTAAATCGAATATTTCGATAAAGAACATCATTTAATATTTTAAATATTTTAAATGTTAATTATTGTAATATTTTAATATTCAATAAGAATTTATTGTGATTAGACGGACAAGATTTAAATAATATATATTTGTTTCAGGCATTAAAATCAGATTTGCTATTAGAATGAACAGCAATGGACAATGGACCGAAGATCAAATGAATCTTGCTATAGATAAGGTTAGGAATAAGGAGAAGATTTTTTTTTTCAGTCCCCAAAAGTTCTCTCGGAAGTGGACTAACAACGTTGCAAGAATGTTGAAAATGTAAACAATTTTTTTAAAACACGTTTTTCTTTACTTTTTTTGACAATTTGATTTATTTAAAATACATGTTTCACGAATATAAAAGTTCAAATTTGTAAAAAAAAAATATATATTTTTTTTGTTTCAAATTACACATTCCTCCCCTCGCCCCGAAATCATTCGGTGTCCGGTACTATACGACCTTCCCCTACTTTAAAGATTCTCACACATTTTATAAAATACCTGTGCAAAATATAAAACAAACTGTTAGTTTCATAAGTCGCCTAAACATTCTAGGTATTTTATTAAAATACCTGCGCATTCCATAGAATGCCTGAATTTCATACATTGCTCACTGACTTCAGGCATTCCATACATTGCCGGATTTCATAGTTTTCCGGTAACATATAAACGAAATCCTACTGTAGCCACCACCATCTCTACTACACGCAAAGTTAAATGATGGAGCACAGATGTTTTTATAGCAGTTGGTCTCGAGAAGCAGCCACCACAATTCAGGACGAATTCATAATAAAAAGATATGGCAGATAACAAATCCTTCTAAAATGTGGCACACTTCGAGTATTCAGAACGACAGCTGCTAATTAAAATTGCATTTAAATTCGGGAAGTGCTTGCCGCTATGTAGTTTAGAAATATGTCTTCCCATCTGCTTTTAAAAACGTAAATATTAGAATATTAAAATATATAAAACTAGAATTTTATTTGTTGTTTTTGCGTGTACAAAACTTGGTCTCTCAATTAACGAAAAAACCAAATTTCCGGCGTTTGAGGACAGGGTATTTGAACCTAAGACTTGCGGTAGACCGCGGGGTCCGCTATGTTGTGGCTGGTCACACACTGCAGTCCATCCCGGACCGTGTGTAACCGGTGGGATACGTTGGGTCTCCGGGATATTTGCTTAGCTCTGCTGGTCGGTAGGCAACTACTCATCTCATTTGTGTTCACGGCCAGTTCGTGGCAAATCAATCGAACACTTTATTAATTTCACAATCCTCACTGCCACCTCTCCCAAGCTCACAAAGTGTTGTGTTGCAACAGTCGGCAAAACTCCATTTATCTACCGTAAACATGCTTACGGTTTGACAATCAAAATTTCAATCTTTGCCCCAAAAGGAAATGTAACATCAACTCCCACTTGGCGCGGGTCCAAGTTCAGTCCGACAAGAAAACACGACAATGAGTTGATAATACATAAAAGTTGGATTCATTACACGTACAGAATTAACACAAACCAATAATGGGACATGTGATTGGTTACAGACTGACAAAGTGACCGCATTTTGGATAGCTTCATATTTTTTGACGTAAATACGTCTATATGGAAGGGTCTTTCCGCAAAAGAGTGACTGAAAAACGTGTAAGATCTATATCAACAATGTGTAAATATGGACCGACAACAATGGTCAGCTTGCGTGCATTATGTTACCTAGGAAACATCATCTGTTTACTCGGCATTGTTGTGTTACATTACTGCCGTCAACAATCCGCTTTCGTAACAAGATGGATAACATTGAAGATAACATTACATTACAGAGACGTAAATATAATTTAAATACAGAGACGTATTTACGTCAGATTCTCCGGAACCTTGGTTCCACTTAGTAACTTTTAGGCGCGACTAGCCGCGTGCCGCGTGCGTCAAGTCAGCTAGTCGCACGCGGTTTATGAAGTCGCGGCGACAGTATTTAAATGGAGGTTGAAGAGAGAGCAGCCCCTACTGTTCTATCATGTCCGTCGTGGGGAAAAGCGAAGTCGACGATACTGGATACATCCCATGTTCTTGGAAAGTTCCACAAAAGGCGCATTCCATCTGCTGTACGACGAGAAGTTTTTCAACTACACACGAATGAGTGTGAAATCGTTCGACCAACTGTTACAACTGATCAGGGAGGAAATAGAAGGAACGGATACAAATTTTCGCCAGAGCATACGCCCTGAAGAAAAACTCATGGTCACTTTAAGGTATGCAAAATTTATTTCAGTTATTACACATCAATTTTTAATTATTCATTTAAATATCTCCACCTAGTCTGAACCCTGAGACAGAGTTTCCGGCGATACAGCAGAATTCTCCAAGGAGTGGTCTGATGTTGACGGCCTGTCCGGATAGGAGGTAGAATAATAACCACGTTGTGGATGGTGCGATGAGGTGGGGGTAGCAGAATTTTTGATTGCAGTCCGTGAATTGGGATAATTCTCATTGTGTGAATGGTATGCTGAGAAAACAATTTGAGGTTGATAACTCTGAATCAACTTGAACAGTTCAATTTTAGCCGTACTTTGCAGTAGTTTGGTATTATTTTGAAGTCATCCAAAAGCGACAACAAAAATAATTTATCAGAGTCATGGTGTTCGCTTTCTTGTCTAGCTTGAAGACTTGATTTTAAAATATAACCATTTCCCACAAAGTTTTTCTTATATTTTTATCACAATATTCCTTCATACCGCTGTTCCACAGTGCTGGTCGTTCTTCAATTTCCATAATGAACAACTCTGTGTTAAAAGATTTCTCGGACATCGCCATATGGAATACAGGCAACTCACATACAGCTCCGGCTCCCGCGTGCGACCTACAGCGTCACTGAGTTCGCTCTGGTTGAAGTTCGTTACTTTTATAGCCGTGCGCTTTGTATTGCTTTTT